TGAATGAAATGTTCCTGTCTTGAATATACATTCATCAAAACTTGACATACAATATGCACTTTGAAAGTGAAATGAAACAAAACTAATGTAATTGTAAAATATGCCTAAATAGCAGCTGCTCCTCATTCCCTTTTTCCTCACCTACCATATGCAAGGGCTTGCCACAGCTCATGCAACTTGGGTCATTACACATTATATCAAAGAATATAGATGTCAGTGCTTCCCATTTTACTTTTTCAGCAGGATTCTGAATATCTTCAGATATACACAAGAAGAGGGAGATGTGTATTGGGAGCTTCACCCTCTGCTGCACAAGGGCCTAAGAAAACCTAGGTTAAAGTGCATTCTACTACTGCTTGCAATGACCAGAACCATCCCTCTATCAGCTCTCTGAGAGCTGTTGAGGAAAAGTGGGGACTTGGAGAAGCCCCTCTTAGACATCACTCATATTTCCCCCATATCCATTCTTTTCTAGCACGACTCTACTAACATAGTAGACTTTTGGTTTTTTGAAGGGGAATTTCCAAGTTTGAGCCTAGCTTTAGTTTGAAAACATTTTTTTTTTACGTGTTCTCTCAAAAACTGCATCTGCAATGAAGTCTTTGGAGTGCAAGAATTATATGTGGTTACTGGCTTAAATCTCTGCTGGATTCCCAACGGTCTATTTTTATCTCATGATCTCAGAGCAATTTGTGATGTTGCACAACATCCAACAGTTCTGATGCAAAGAAATGGCAGCAATGCAGTTTTTCAAGTTAAAAATCTGGACATGATGCTGGATTGGTGATATCTGGCTGGCTGAAGATTTATGAAACAAACAGCTAAAGAAGAGCAAAGGATGTTAACCAGAAAGGTGTGTTAGCAACAGACTCAAATTAACACTTGGATTTAGAAGAGAGAGCTAAAATTTAAAACAAGCCCAAGGTTATCAAGTCTTTAGCAATATCTCAGATATAATAAAAAATAAGAAGATATGTAATTAACTGGACAGTGAGGAACAGCTCCAGAACTTGCAGAGAGAGTTCATTTTGAAGTCATAGCAACTTTTTTCATGTTGGGGCTGCATCTGACTGTTGCCAGAAGGTACTCAATGCTGAGTATCTCTATTCCTGCATAACTCCTATTCATAAAACAGAAAAAGAACACAAATAATGTTCTTCTTTTCATTTGTTTGTACGTATGTTTTAGATAAAGCTGTTCTGATGGCTTAAGACTCTTTGTTCAGATTGCACAAGCTATTTGGTGCCAGAGTTATTTAAATCCTGGGAAGAAGTACTACAATAGATAGAAATGATGTATGAATAGTACATAAATGATGATAATGGAAGGGCTGATTTAATAAATGGAAACTTTAAGCTGAAAGCATGAATGAGAAGGCACTGGATCTACAGCTCTACTGATGCAGAACGTGGGGTCATGAAGAACCGAGGAGAAATGCTGCACATTGCCCTGCCAGGATTTATCCCATGCTCTGAAAACTTGGACACGTTGTTGGGTAAGCTACTGGAGCTGCCACCCTGCAGATGATACCTAAAGCTGACAACCTAATCATCTGTGGCACATTTTGTAAAGGACAAGGAATTAGCTATAGTGAAGTGGCCTCACTTCAGCCTGCATAATTACATCCTGCACATCTATGATTCCTTTGCTGTTTCTTAGAGGGGGAAAAAAAAAGAACATATTCTTCCCTTGCTGTAAGCCTTTTGCCTAGAAAATCTCAGATATAGCTGCAGTCATCTCGTGCTTAAGTCTGATATCAAACTGTTAAATTTGCAATGTACTTTGAGATCATTTATTCTAAACCTTAAGATTATTACTGCAGACATCTCCAAGGACTACATAATCCACACTGTATGTTCCAATAATGAGGCACGAAAGAGTAAACCGAGAATTTGGTTTCTGATTCCTCCCCCTTCTTTGCCCTGCCCATTTCTGTGCTTTGAAAACAGAAGCCATAATGCTGTCGGAACATTTTTTTTAGTGGTTTAATAAACATGACATGTTTGCACTTGCTTTGCATTTTAATAGCAATGCAGTGGCAATAAGACACTTCCACAAACACAGTGCATGCAATTACATAGGGTTTTAAGTGCTAACTTTGTGTCAGGCATATATATACACGTTTTAAAACTCTTTTGTTCGAAGCCTAAAAATCCTCAGTTTTCTCTCTTCCCTGTTATGGCCACCTGACTGCCTTTCAGGTGGAGTTCCATGGGCACACACCACTTGGAGTAATTAGGAGCTGTATCTTTGTGGCTGTATCACTGCCACATCACCACTCCAGTGGAAACTTTTTAATGGCACCTGAGGAGTACCTATGGAAGTGGCCATGTTGCTGATCTGACAGTTTTTAATTTTTCCTTTTTCTTCCTTGAAGGCAGTTCCAATATGAGGGATGGTGGTAGTGACCACTGATAGCTTCAGTTCTAAGAGCAAGAATGGCCAAGTGTTGCTAACACACTTTGAAGTCCCAAAGTACTGCAGTGGTCTGTCTAGGGTTTTGGTTTGACCCATTTTAAATACCTTGTGCCTATTACAGGAGTAGACCTTCATTAACCTGCCCTGAAGTTCTTAAAAATTAAATTAAATCTCACTAGAAAAGATTCAAGTAGTAAGAGTGGTAGTTTTAGTTCTAAGGGATATAACTTGTTCTGTGTTAGTGCTTCTGATTTTGGGCCATCACCCCTCTCTCTCTCTTGCCAGGCTCAGGGTGACATTTCACTCATTTTTATTCAAAGGTAAATTGCATGACCAGGAATGAAATTAATTCCAGGGTCTGACTCAAAGTACATTGTAATAAACAAAAGGGCTGATATTATCTTTAGTGGAGTACCTACAACGTTTAGTAGAGCACTAAAGTTAACACAAGCCATAATATGCACATAGTTTTAAAGAAAATGCTTTACTATTCTTTACCATAACGACAATATTGAATTTGTCTATGTTTATGCTAAACAGCATAACTTCCTTTTATGTTTCAGATATTAATATTCATACATTTACAGTGTAACACTGTACTCTGCTTTTGCATTAGGTTCAGCTAGATTGTTACCCTGACAAACATTATTAAAGATTTTTTACTTACAAACTCAAGAGACTCCAATCGGAATTTTTCTGCTACCCACATTCACTGGTGTAGGGATTATAGGCTTGAGCAACTTACATTGTACAATAAACTGCCAAATGAGATGAGGTAAAACAGTAACTCCACAGAAGGATCTAATTCAGAGTACTTACTGTGTGCTAGTATTAGTCAGTGATTAGGTTATTAAATCCTCTCTAATTATTATTTGAAGCTTTTCATAAATAGCTTTTTGCAAAATGGATCTTATCTAAAAATTTAATTTATTGGATGTTTACAGGCTTAAAAAAGTGATTTTATGATATAAACCCAGAATTACTTCCTTTTTAAATAAACCCAACTGGTGCTGTAATTGAGATGAGCACGCTATTTTTTTCATGCAATAATCTGATATGGGACTTTCCTTTCTCAAGAGACTTGCTTGATCTGCTCTTTATAGACATTCAGTCTCTGTAAATATGCTTTTGGTTTCTTTATCAGTAATAGTATTAGACCTGAATGCTTTAGTATACAGTATAATGGGATATTAAAGGGCTTTCTGTATATGTTTTAGACAAGCCAGTCTAATAGAAAGAAATGAACACATGAAGGATATTCTTTACAAGTAGATAGTACCATTTATAAGGATTTTCTTCTACCATTTAGTTATTACATTTTGAGAGAAAATCACATTGCTTTCTTTGCCTTTTTTTTTCTCTGTCATTGTTTGCCTTTTCTTCCTGCTTGTACTTTGCTACCAAACCATCTGACTATCTGTGTTGCCATGGGAAGGACTGTAATGCCATAAATTCAGAGAAGAGAAGTTCCTGTGTTCATTTTTTTTTCCATTTTATTCTTACACAATCACTAGCACAGATTAGCTGCTCTCATAAGGGTGTACTGGCACTAGAGCAGGATTGTAAAATATTCCATTTTGGAAAAGATACAGCAAAAACATTCTACATGTTTCACAGAATGGCACCAACCTACACAAGCAAAAGTCAATGCTTCCTAACTTGTAGATACCTGACTGTTCCAGAACTGAGCCAAATTATAGGCAGTTATCCATCTAGTCTTACAGTATGTGAATTCCAGAAATGCAAAAAAATGGAGGGAAAAACGTGTTAAATCACAAAAAAACCATGCTGGATGCCTTAGGGGATTTGCCATACAATTCAGGGATTTTAATTTTCAAACTACTGGCTAAACCACCACAGGCAAATAGTGACTGAAATTTGCCACCTTCTAAAATCTGTAAAGAGTGGCCCATCTAGAAGGACCTGTGGCTTCAGCTGAGTTGGCAGTGCCAGCTCTTCCCATTACAGAAAGGAGCTTCCTTGACTGGCACCAGTGCAGGTGCTCGCTTAGTGGGATGCATGGAAAGGCACAGGCCAAAACATCTACCAAGAGCAGGTCCTCCAAGTACCATAGTACAAATAACAGACCCAGGTTTGTTCTACAGACAACTCATTCAGCCACAAACTAAATGTCTTTGGACAGCAGCCCCCAAAAGTCACACTATCACAGTAGATGTACCACTTGGGGACAGCAGAGGCAGAATCACACACTGTAAATGCAATCAAACTTCCTCATGAAAACCCAGAAGTACCTTTACACATCAGAGCAGGGTCCCCTACGTGCTGCTCACTGCAAGTGCTGGTCAGCATCATCCACATTACCTGCAGTTACCATTCAGAATCAAGACTGGGGGCTCAGCCTCAGTTCCTCAGGATACAGTTCCAAAGCTCCAAACAGGCAAAATGAAGACCCTAGGTGGTAATTTGTAGTGAACATAACCTAGTACTACCTCTGCCATTGTATTAATCATCCATTGCTGACATGGAAACAACTTATTTTGACAAATAAACAACAGAAGTGTGATTCAGAAGACACAGGAAGCAGATGTGCAAAGCTCAGGAAGCCAAGTGTAAAGACTCACCGTCCTGTCTGCAACCACACACTAATCTCATGTTTGGCTGATGGCTGTGGCTGAGCTGCTCTGTTCAATATTTTGTATGTTGATTGGCTTGTTATTCACTTCTGCCTCTGCTGGAAGCCAGACTAACCTGTGGGGGAAGTGTGGAAAACAATTACAGTATATTGAAATGGTCATACAAGTACAGCACACTGCAACACTTTACATAATTTATTAGGTGTTACTACACGCACTGGCACTCACATGACAAAGGTTTTAACGAGACCGACAAATAGGACAACATCTGCATTCCTGTGAGAACATCTGAGATGAAAATTTAACATTAAACCAAAACTGCACTTACTACAGTGCAAACACTGCAATCAAGTGGTCTGCCTTGACTTGCAATGCATTATGTTAACACAGTATGGTTGCCAGAGTAAAATACAAATGTTCATTACAGCAGCAATTAATTGCTTGCTATTTTTGAAAATTAACAGTTAATATACTTTTCCAAATCAATCCAATCCAGTGTTACTCTGAATTTTCATGCATCATTTCTTTATTTTCGTCCCTATTGTGCACACAAGGTCAATTAACTGGTAAATATAATTATTTTACAAACATAGCAAGTGGCAGCTTATTATAAATAACAACTTATTTGCATATTTCCTTGTTTCTGAAGAGAACAGCAATGTTACGGGTCTGAAAATCTTTGCAACTCTAATACAGTGAGATATTGTTTTTAAGTAAATCTTCTATTTAAGTAAGTAGCCTAGTAAATATGCCATTTCTTAGATTAAAATCAGCAAGTAGAAGCTGGGTTGCAGATTTCAGAACTTGCCTCATTTGCATCTTGAAAATGGAATGGAACTGAAACCTTTCAAGCTTTATTGTTCAACTCCACAATTCTGTTGCTCTTTGTAAATGAAACGGAAAAGAGATGTATGTGAATATATCACACACTTCAGCCTAAATGAGCTTTTCAAATTTTAAATGAATATCATTGTTTGTAGTCACCTTCACAGTATTCCTGAAGTTGAAGCTGTGAGCTGAATTCTGACTGAATTTTGTGAAAGATTTGGGAAAACATGACTCACAAGATTTTAATACTGGCAGACAAAGACCCCTTTCTGACTCTATTTTTGATTTCCAGGGTCTCTTTAAATAAAGAAGATATTCAAGACCGAGGGACAACAGAGAACAGCTGCAAGGATGATTTCTTCTAAAAGGAGAAATCAAAGGACAGCACTCCTCATGTGCACTATATATGGCAATCTCTTTGTCTGAATATCGAAGAACTGGTTGGTACTCGCATGCTGTGCTGAAACTGCGTGGCTGTAGAGGTTTTCCTAGACATATTTCTTGATGACAACTGCATGCTGTTGGATTTGTTTCAGTGACTGTGAATCTGTGAGCCATGCATATTGCGTTCCATTTGCCACTTCGCAAGAAAACAATATTTAGTGAGCTTATGGCGAGCAGAACACCTCATTTGTGCTGATTGGGGTAGATGGGGTGATTTGTAGATTCACACACGCTGAGCTTCAGGCACTCCGAGAAAAACTCCATTGGGCGAAGTCGAGATTTATGCCCCAGCCCCAGTACAATTCATGTGTTGGGGGGCTCCTACTGAGACCTACCAATGGGAGCTGACAGCTGCGTACAGTGCACTGGAAACATTTTAAAGCTTGCTGTAAAGAAAATAGAGCAGTCTACGCCTAGCAGGGAGGAAAATCGATGAGTCGGCACTTGGCAGTGGTGACCAGCAGGAGGATGCTTCTGATGAATGCTGAGTCATTGATTTCCCTCCCTGATCAGCAGCAGCTGCTCCATTCACACTGCAGAAAGCCTTCTCGCCACGACCACATGTGTCAGCAGGCTTTATTGTCATTAAAGCAAGAGGTATTAGCTGACAAGACATCCAATTTATGTATTTTTGGTTTCGGTAGCTCTAGCTCACAATTTCAAAGTTGCTTCTCAGCTAGGGCACCTAAAAGGACATACGTATCAAGGCAGGAGATCCAATAGCACAAGCAGCTTCACAGGTACAAACAGTATTTGCGTGACAGATGTGTGAATGTCGCCCCAGCCTTCGGTTTCTTTTCTCACCAGGAGGCACATATTTCATAAACTCAGAGCACAGTTGAGCAAAGAAGTTAAGACATCATCTGAGAAGGTAGGCTTCAAGTCAGCACAACACTTATGGAGGAGAGCTCACATGTTTAAATTTAAACATACGTGTAAATATTCAGATGAACTGGGCTCTGCTCATGTGCCCTGCCTCCAGTGTGTGTGATGTACCATGGTATAGCTGAAGACCAAAGCATAACTGTAGTTTGTAATTTTATGACAATAAAAAAGTAACAGGTAAAACAGGTGAGACTACACTGAATGACTACAATAAAAGTACAGTTGGAGCAGGTTATTACAAATCTCAGCATTTGATGAGGATGTATATATTTCTCAACATGTTCTAGCCTTTATGTTGTTTACATTACCATAATTATTACTTAATGTGTCTGTATATCTGCTTGAACTGATCTTTGAGGAAGCAGTTTACAGAAAGAGAAAAAAGAAGAGAAGGGACTGTCATGAGATAAATGCTGTTTCTCAGGATTAAAATTGACTGAAGTACACTATTTATAGTCAGGCACTTCACTGCTAGTAGCAATGCTGAGCCTGTTCATTTCAGGTTCCATTCATCGCAGAATATGCATGACTCTGCCTCAAAAACACTCACAGAAAAAGTCATAGGTCAGGCTTCTGTGCTTGAATTGGTATTTCAGCAAAAGCTCACGTGGCCAGCCACAAAAAACATTTTCCCTCAACTCTACGGGTGTTTGTCCTTCGAAAAAGAGCCTCTTCACCACAGTGACAGGCATGGATTCAGGAGAGTCCATAACTGGCAAGCTGCATTTTCCTAGTTAATTCAGCTGCAGATTGAAAATTGCTCTTTTATAGCTGGCTCCCCTCTTTCAGGAGGCACAAGTCCACTTAAATTCTTTTGCTTTTTAAAGGGATCTCATCTCCCAGCTTCAGTGAGTCCTTGTTAGAGCCGCATCAAACTCAGTGATTTTGGGTCACGACGATTTTGGAAAAGTGTACTGTCAGCTACAACATCCACTCAGGTTGTAGGGTTTGTGACTTTAGGAACTCTAAAATTTAAGATAAACATCACTGCCAGCCCATTTCCTTCGCCTTATCTCCCTACATTTCTGAAAGCCCTCCTCCATTCTGCTATGCCTGCGGGCAGCTGAGGAGGCTCCTCCTCGTAGGAGCAGTTGCATTAGCACAGAAGCTTTCAAGGATAACTGCTGCTCCTCGGGGAGCCCCAGGAATAGGAACAGGCAAGAGTGCTCTCATTCTTTTATTCCTTCGCACATCTGGGGTCTGAAGTATCTTAGACTGTGCTAAAAATCTGCTAACTTAAGAAACAAGTCTTTGAAATCAGATTGTCAGCTACAGTGCAGGTAATGAGCCGTGTAACTTCTTAAGTCACACACATATCACTTTCTTTAAAATTGTTGACCGAGGGTATGAAAAGCACAAAACAGAAATAGCAGATGAACTCAAAAGTATAATGTGACCCTGCCTCATGTCTGAATTTCTTTGCTATGATCCACATGGACAGAAATGACTTGCACATTAACAGTTGCCACTGATGCAAGTAGCAGTGTTCTTGAAATTCTCCATTTAATTTCCTGATGATTTTAATAAAATACTAACTTTGCAAGCTGAAGGCCAGGTTCTGGTACTGACTGATGACAAGGTGACATGGAGTAGAAGAGAGATCAAATGAAAAATAAAGAATGTGACAGATCCTAAATAATTTCATTACTGACTGAAAGCTAAGGAACACTGTACTCAGGACCAAATTCAGAGAAAATAGAATACTTAGTATGTAAAATGTTTTAAACTTCTATAAAACTGATCAGGAGGGGATATGCTACCCATAAATAATGAATTTCCAATACAAATGACGCACATTGGGACACATAGTCCAAGTTTTGGAGAACAAGAAGTTTCATTAAAGAGATGTTCCAATGAACAAGATCCTGCTATGTTTAGATCATATCTACCTAATAAAATTAAAGATTTAGACATAATTAATATAGATCCAGACATTTACCTAATTAAAATGAACTGGGTAGAAAGAATTGATTATACATTTCCCTATGAATGAAAATAAACATACAAATTACTGTTCATCAAAAGATAATGTGTAACTCTAATGCTTTGATGATAGAAATCTCACATTATTTTTAATGTAAGATCGCTACTGATTAGAAAAAATGTATATGATTACAATTAGTCAGTCAGATTGTCTAAATCAGCATATGAGTTGATGGAGCTATGACAATTTACAATATCTGAGAATCTGCTCCTTATCTTGAACCAATGAGGAGCATAGAATCAACATTTGTAAAGAGGAATGCTTCCTTAGACACACTATAAACCAAAACCTTTTTCAGATGAAAAATGAAAACCAATGACAACACTGCAAAGACTGTCACCATCACCAGTACTCAAACAGCCTCAGTTTATGTAAAAGAAGAAAATTTACCTGAAAATAATGAATTTAAAAAAGGGTTTCCATAATGATGTGAAATTCTGAGAAGGGGTTTGAAATTTTTCTTGAGCTCTGAAATCAGATAAAATCCTTGAAAACAGACTTTGTTTCAATATTTTTTAAGGTATTTTATATGAGCAATAATAGAAAACTGTCTCTTACACAGTGTCCTGTGTGGTGATGGAAAGCCTAGCTGTGATGTAACTGTTCCAGCATTCTGTCTTAGACAGACAACATACTGGAGGATGTTGCTTATTTACCAGAAGGACCTGAATTACCATGAATATGGTTGTATGGTAAAAAAAAAAAAAAAAAAAAAAAAAAAAAAACCTGATTAAAAAAAAAAAAAGAAACAAAACCTGATTTTAGTGGTTTTCAAACCTTACTAAAGGCTTTTTTTAATTTGTGGGAGTAGACTGAGGTACTTTCCTGCCAACAGTATGAGTGATAACTTTTGAACCTAGCACTCAGTGGTCAAATTCCAAATTTAGAAGAGGAAAAATTAGTTCACAAACCTTCTGGCATCCCAGTGGATCTGGAATGGCAAACAGGAGAAAACTTGATGCATGAGTTCTCTG